GTCACATAAAAATGGCTCTGGCGACTTGTTATTCATTTTCACGCAGCTAGTCACAGTTTAGCGAGGGAGAACAAAAGAGAGAGACTGACCGATCTCGTTCTTGGGCGGGGAGTAGTAGGCATTGACCTGGGGAGGGGTCATCTCCCACTGACCCCGGTTGACCCGCTTGCGGAGTTCCTGCAGCTCCTGCCGGGTGTGGAACTGGTTGATGCGGATGTTGTTGCCGAAGTAGTCCGTGGAGTTGATCTCCAGCTGCGTGCGCAAAAACAAGGTGAACAGCGCCCTCCAGTGACAAGATGCAGGCAAGACAAGAGCCACATCCCAACCACAGATCGTAGACAAAACCAGCAGCATTTGACTGGGCATTCCCAACAGCCCCCCTCTTTAATGGCGGAAAGTGCTGTGTTAGGTTTTTGTACGAAGCAATTGTCAGGAAACAGTGGATCCAAAAATATTTGCCATGCGGCTTACTGTCATTGGTGGGGGCCACTGCATATGACCAGCGACAGCATTACCATGATAACCAGATTTATCTGTGTTCATCTGGGGCAAACACAGCACATGATTCTTTGTATGAATTAGTGGACAAAGTAATACTGTTTTGGGGTTCATAATAACCAACTATAAACTTTGAACTACCAATTTCTGCTACTGATTCCAAACTGATTAAAATTCTACAAAAACGCTGGCAAAAACATGACCACCATCTTACATCGCCGTAGGATTCATCCAGTTTCTTACTGTTGAGGATGTAGTCTGGAAAGCCAATCAGATCCAGGATAGCATTGGCCTACGGACGCAAATCACAGACACACACAAAATGCAATCAACATCTTAGCATATCACAGCGACAGACTCTTCACCTACTGACCACTTTAAATTAAGGCCTCAACGCCAAAAGCAGTCCTGCTAAGAGCCTGTCCCTAATCTGTGATATAGTGGACTTGTCTACTTATCTAGTATTGAAGTCCGGCAGGGCAATACTGACAGAAAACATGTAACTGAGCTCATTTTTTCTTTTTATGGAGGCAATAACAGACATGGAGCTTTGGAAGAGAGATGAATAATATTTCAAAATGACTATTATGTTTGCTGATAACTGAGGCAGACCAAAAGAACAAAAACGACGATGAAATGTCGTTGAGGACGCGATTTGAATCGTGCTTCGAAACTCGCCAGTCATTCGCTTTCCATTCACTGTCTTTCAATATCCACTGCAATCAATCCTGTTTGGTTCTGTCTTCCATCACAGCGTGATATTACCGGTGTTCTTATGATAGGACTCTTTTGAAACCCTGCTCTTTATTCAGTCAGGCAGAGCCAATGAGGGGTTAATTAAGTTCATCCAACAGCGCATTTAGCGCCAATTACAGTATGAAGTGATAATTAAGAAGACAATGAGGAAGTGTTCAGTTTTAGAGGTGGGAGGAAAACCGGAATAAATATTAAAAAAAATAAACCTCACAGAGTCAGGTAGGGACTGAAAACCCAATCCACGTACTGACCTAGGTGGGATTCGAACCTGGGTCGCAGAGGTGGAAGGTGAGGAAAGTGCCACTACACCAACCTGACTCAACTTGTATGGAAATCTAACCCCATGTTGAGAAACAGAGGTTTCTTCCTCACAAGAACTTGAAAAATCAAGAACTTCTTGAAAAAGGAACTGAATTGGGATGAGAAAACTAAAGACGAATGAGTTGAAACAAAAATTGAACGTTGAAGAGTTTGAAACATGCCCGACCTTGTCCCTCGCTGCGTGGCGTGTTTCTTCGTCCATCCAGTCTAGGCCTGGCAGGTTGTTCTTGAAAGCACTGCGAATCTCCTCCACCATAGAGCTGGCCTGAAAAAGCAGACCGAAAAAGTGACCCAAATCAACCACAAGAAAGAGTGTTTGTGACACTACACTTTCAGGGTTTTTCTTTGAGTTAAGCGATGACTACGTATGTTTTGCACCATCTAGTCAACCATTAGGAACCAGGCCCTGGAGCACCGCTGGTTATAGATAGCGAAATTCATGAATCCGTACGAGCTAACCATTCACATGAAAATAAGTGTACAAGTTATTGTTGACCACGTACACTGCGAGAGTTGCAACCAACAGCAAAATGTGAGGCTAAGGGATTTTACAAAATACCTGTAGCTCAACTCAGGCCGTTTACATGTGACTGAGATACGTTTGTACCACGAATGTGCTGATTAAGTGTCGCATACAGAACAGAACACCGTAAGCAAAAAACTGAGAGAAACGTGAACATTCCTGTATGCCAACAGAGTGCGTCTGAAGTACTTGACAACACTAGAGCACTTTTGGAATACTTGACTACAATATTAGAGTACTTGTCGAGTACTGGAGCATTACACTGGAGTATTTGTGAATTACTTTAATAGAGTACTTGTGAAGCAGTGGGTTACACCACCTACTTACTTTTGAAAACCTGAACTATAAGACAGTACTTGACTATGACACTGAAGCACTTATAGAGTGCCTGACTGCTATACTAGAGTACGTTTCAAGCACCAGAACACTACACTAAGTATTTATGAAGCTCTTAACTACAGCAGTATGAGTACTTATAAAGTAGTGGCCAATACCACTTAAGTATCATTGAAGTACTCAATTACAAGACAGTATCTGTGAAGTATTTAACTACAAAAATTGAGTACATGTAAAGTAGTGGACAACACCTAAGTACTTTTAAGGTACTCAACTACAAGAGAAAGTGTGTGTGAAGTACTGGAGTACTTATGAAGTACTTGACTACAACAAGTAGGGTATCTGTGAAGTACTACACTTTAACACCTAAGTATTCAGCAAGAACTGGACCACAACACTGACCCTCTCCTTGCTCTTGCCCAACTACAAGAGAAAGTGTATGTGAAGTACCGGAGTACTTGTGAAGTACTTGACTACAACAAGTAGGGTATCTGAGAAGTACTGGACTTTATCACCTAAGTACTCATCAAAAACAGGACCACAACACTGACCCTCTCCTTGCTCTTGCCCTGGAAGGTCTCCTTGACAAAGAGGGCTCCCAGGGCAAAGCCCATGTTGTCGTCGGTGGCGGTGATACAGGAGCGCCACTTGGGCTGCTCCGTGGTCTGGCCGTACATCTCCTTGTCCAGGTCGTCCTCGGCCCGCTGGAAGTCCTGGCTCAGGTATTTGGTGTAGGAGGTGATCAGGGACCAGACCATGTAGTTGTGGAGAGCTCTGGTGCACAAAACAAATGGAACAAGAGTGATTCACGCTTGTACACATATGGCAGGGTTCGAGGTTGGATGGTTGACATTAGTTCCCCTCAGTATTGGAAGCTGACAAACTACAATGTAGTTCCAGAGGGCGGTATTTTTTTTTCATCCACAGGGGTTGTTTAGATATGGCATAATTTATGAAATTGATCACAAGTGCGGGGTACTACCATGAACAGAATTGCCGAGGTGAAGAAGAGGCATGAAACCGGAAATTGGTTTTGAGAGTTCAGAATGTCCCGTGCCAAGGGTATAAGAAATTACACCCGCACATGGCAAGTTCCCACCAAAGGGGCATTGCTAATCCATAAAAAACATGTCACATCTTGTTCCTGCGTAGAGCAGCTAGTGAACGTTCTGTCCAGCTCTTCCTCTGGAAACTGGCAGGACTTACACCGGGTCTGTGTTGAGGACCAGATCGGAGACGGCTGCTAAGTACTTGGGAGTGAAGACGATAATCTGCTCCTTGGAGGTGATCTGGACATCGGTGTCCTTGAAGAGGTAGTTGAGGTATTCCAACCAGTTGAACTGAGGACATTAAAAAAACAATAACTGTTGCACATCAGTTGATCTGAGGACGTATAAATCACACACACAATGTCAGTTCAACTCAAAGATGTGAAAGACGCAATCTCACAAAGCTTGCTGCGATAGAAATTGTCTTTGAAAATCACAGAATACAATGGTGGATGATTGGCATTGGTCTGACTGGAAAATGGCCTCATGACAGTCAAGTTCTTACGTGTACATGTACACGAAACTTCGGTTTCCTTTGATAATTGAGACTTTTCCTTCACACTAAATCTTCGGTCTTGTTTTGCTGAAAACGTGAATCCCCATGCTTGGGAAAATCAACCCTCAAAATAACCTTTTTATGATCAATTGTTTCAAGTCTAATTTAACAAGAATTACCGCTGGAAACTGTATCTGCATTTCCTCAACCGTCATGTAGTTGAAAAGATCCTCGAAATTCTCGTAGTCGTCCAAACTCAGAGACAACTGTCGAAGGAAAACAAAATGGCTTCTACTCTTAGTTAGGGGACTAAACTCCGACTAAAGTCAAACTCAGACTAACAAGATTTACTTTCGGGACATGTCGAGTAAACAGGCAACCTGGGGTCAGAGGTCAGCAATACACCTCAAGCTCATTCCTCTACAAACCTGTATCAATGTATCAAGTACATTTACTAAAAGGGGGGGTTATTCTATATTTACAATATGGGGGCACCACCAAATTGATAAGAATGTACAAATACACACCAAGGTATAGTCCAATTGATACACTCTGTCTTCTCGAAGGAGTTGAGAATGAAAAGAAAAAAAACCTAAGGACAGGAGGATAAGGTATCTTACTTAAAAACAAAAATAATTTTAAAAGGGGGTGCAGCAAGGTTCCCCCCCCCGCCCTGAATCTGCTACTTAATTGAACTTGTGGGGAAAAAACTGGTGCTCATGAGAACTGGGCACTTTCTACAAGTTCTCACATTGGCAATTTCCACTCCGATATCCCAGATGTTCCTGAGCTGTCGATCAACCTCCTCCCCCTCAGCACCCATGAGTTCTGTAATTCGCCTCATGTACTTGAAGTAGGCCGCCACAGTCTGCCAATAATGACGAGTCAACATGTGAGTAATGCTTCATCACTCGAATGCAGTGGGACAAAACAAAAGGTGAGTTTGGGTTTGCCACCAAAGAATCACATCACACATTTTGTTGATTTTACCAAGAATTCTTCACAGGGAATAAGAGGGAAGTCTATATTGTTGAAAAATGGATAGTTGTTTGAGCAAGATCCAACTATTTTACGACTATTAAAATGGCATTTGTTTTACTAACAAGTTTCTCCTACTGGGATGAATTATTGGGATGCTAAAGGGCACTTTTGATGGAGTGTTGCTAACAAGAAACATGGGGGTGGGATGATCTCTGTCGCCTGGAATTGTACTTACGGAGTCATCTTCAGTCTTGTTGACCATGTAGCGTCCATCTGGCAAGAGAATGCTCCCCTCCACGATCTACGGATTCAAAGGATAAACATGTACAACCACATGAAACAGACAGAATGAGCTGCCTCTTGCTCCGTCAAACTGAGGAATACATGACAGGTGAAGCAACAGCTCTTTAAAAAATAGCCATGCCTGTTCTGTTCTGTTCTGTAGGCAAAAAAACTTGTTGTTAGGGTCATGCATTTTTCCTACCCGCATTTGTGTAAAACCATGCAATGAGCACATGTCAACTGAAGTGAAAATCTGGGCTGACTTGTCTAGGAAAAAAGGACACCGCATGAACTAGGAGTCACAATGACCCCATGCAAAGCAAAAACCTCCTGACTACAGAAAGCCCCCGTTGCCATGAAGCACTACAATTTTCAAAAGTGAAGTTATTTTTTTTACAATATCCGCTTTATAAGATGAATTTTTTCCAAAGTTCGTTTTTTATGAGATATATTGTCATGCCACAACCTCGCACCATGTGTATTGCTGAAATGACCTGCTGACCCTGACAAAGCAAATGACCTAAAATCTGAATATGCATGCTTTTCTTTTTCAAAAAAATCTCGTAAAAATAAACTTGTACATATGGCATAAAAATGAATGTTTCTAAAATTAAATCTCTTATGAGTGAACTTGAAAACATGTTTCTTGTGACAACAAACTTTGGAAAAATATATTGTATAAACATGAACGATTTTAAAAATACATCTCGTAAACATCAACTTGAACACTGGAAAGAAGTACATCACGTTTTGAAAATGTATACTGCCCGTACATGGCACGCGTGGGCTTCTGTACCCGAGGGTCAACACTATTGAACAGAAAAATGGACTTCAATGATGTCAGAGAAGGTGTACTTGTACAAAGGGGCAAGGGGTGGATTGGGCCAGCTGTTTCAAGCTCGAGGGCCAACCTGAAGAATGTTGATGCTGGAATTCTTCTCGTCGCCCCCTATCATCAACGTGAAGAAGGGCTTTTCGTCGTACAGCGCCTCCATCCGCTGGAAAACCTTGCTGAAATTGTAGCCGGTGGCATTGAACGTTCCCGTCACGTTCCAGCCGCCAAGCTAACAAATGAGGGAAGACAAGGATAAGATAAACATTAAAGAACAAAGACAGACAAAAAGTTGGAAACAAATTCGTCACGTAAGTCGACTCGTACCTGTTCTCTCATACGGTGCATTTTGACAACAAGTAAAACTATAAATGTCAATTACTACAACGGAACTTTACTGAGCCCTGTGCAAAATCAACATGTGTGGCAATTTGAAATTAGAACCACCTTGCTAACAGAACTATATGAGACATCATTTATCAACAACCCCTGACTACTAATTTCAATACGCAGTGCACATTATACTCAATAGAAAAAAGACAAGGAAATCAGAAAATCAAGGGGAAAAGTGTGTGTCATGCTTTCACACCCGCACGGTTTTTACACGGGCTTTCTGGCAAGCAAAATATCTTTTCACATTCCACTGCGTTGGATCTGCTTGGAGGAGAAAAACGTGAAGAAAAAAAAAGAGACACTTCAGAATGGTTGTGCATGGTAAAATGGTAATCGCTGCCCCCTGGAGGCCCTCAAAGTCGCCACATTGCCAGAGCCGGACGGAATTTATGCCCGCATCTCCCCAGTCTCCTCCACCATCACCCTCCCCCCCGCAGGGGTTCCATCCTCACCGTGTTGATGATGTCTATGAGCGGTTGGGCCCCCAGGCGATCGACGTTGCCCTCCTTATCCACACACGACACGTAGTAATTCTGGGCTTTCTTCTCTGCTGAACTGGTAGTGTTAAGCTGCCCCTCTTGAAAAAACAAAAAAAGAGGATTTTGAGATATCCCTGCCGGGTTAATCTAAGTCAGATTTGAAGTTTTGCATGGTGGTGGCTGAATTGTAGAGGGTCTGCCGATGCACCAAGTACATAAAGGAACTATGAGTATCTCTACTGGGAAGGAGATGTGTTTCTGAAAAGACCCGGCGAGGCAGAACCCAACGTTTCCATCATCTCTCTCCCCAGCTCTGATTCAGTTCTGAAACGAGCCATGTTCCCCACCACCCACCCCCCCCGAAAAGGCAAATATTTAACGTAAAACAACTGACAGGGATTTGGGGGTAACTGTTCCATTTTCCATCCACCCAAAGTCTTGCAAGAAGCCCCCAATCTAACTCACACCTGCAAAATTCAATGATAATTACATACAATTTCTCACTCCTAGAATAAAAAAAATGTGCCCTGGACCCTCCTTCCGGCAGGAGAAAATGACTAAAACACTGGATTTGGCATACCAAGAACCTGCTTGAGGACCACCTGGTTCTCCCGCCAGATCATTCCGAACGTCGTCCAACGCGACTGGCCGTCGGGTATGGGGTGCTCCTTGATCCAGCTCCCGCAGGAGTACCGGTGGAAATCCTCGCAGGGGTCCACCGACTTGTCCATGGAGCTCAGCACACTGCCGGCGATAGTTACGCAGGGACCCGTCAGACAAAACTCTGAGGGAAAAAAAATTAGACAAATTCAAGGTTGTCATGTTTATCTATCACAGATTTGTCAAATTTTCCAAGCTGTACATAAGTGAGTGTAAAACTAGGAAAAGGTCAGTACATTTATCAAATGGTAAATAACTGGTATTTATAAAATATTTTTAATAACTGGTATTTCAAAGATGAAGCACCAGTAAGAAAGAGACGAGACACAGATTTGTGCCTCCTGTAGCGATTTAAGGACCCATTCCATGAGGAAAACAAATCAAAGTTGCTTCCTACAGGACCATTTAGACTGACAGGGGACAAGTTGTGCTATGGGGGAATAAACCACATTTACACATGTACATGTGTAAGTATACATATACATGGACATGTGAAAGATTTTAAGATATCGCGTTCAGGCCAATCAATTGTCTCGTTAGGTATGACCACACAGGCTGACTGGCACGGTTTGGCACTTCTGGTCTTTAATGCTTCCAGTAACGTCCACGTCAGTAAACTGCATACGGAGCAGTGGCTGCCTTGTGTGTCAATCTGAAACATTATGCTGGATACGATTTCCCATTACCGTACTGAGTTATTACTCGTTTGTGTAAACAAGGCCTTATGACACAACCATAAAAGAGTTCGGATAGGACTGAGACACGAGGCCCTGGCTTTCATTAAAGGCACATTTACTGTTTCTTTTCAGTGCATCAAGTTACCTTTGATAAAGGGCAATTCCACGGTAACTTGCGTTACAAATAATGGGTACATACAGGATAATGTGCCTATATCTGCGTAATTGTTAGGATCTATAAGTTTCTTTGTTCAACATGGGTAGAGTAGACATACATTTAGACCAACTAAATGAATTAAAAAACAAAACAAAGAACAAACATATTGAGATTCAGGAATCATTTAATTTTGGTAACACGCTTTACGAAAAAAGGACAGGGTCCATTCTATGAAAGCCTCTTTTAGCAAAGTCTCCTCATACTGAATAATCTTGATACCAGTTTTCCTACCTTGAATTGGTAGTGGGCTATGATTTATAAATTAACAATATCAAAGTTGAGAAACAATGAACAAGTAAAATGCAGGGAGCACGTGTATTGGTAACTCGGTTACGGTAACTTGCATAACAACAAACAGCCCGCCACAAATGGATGGCATAAACCTGTTCTGATGGCGCTTCATCTTGTTTGAAGTATGTTTACAGATAAACGCTTTTGCAGAGAGTAAAGTGAAGATTGATAAACTGCTATTGTCAGGAAAGAATGTGTTAATGAGGAGCTTCGCTGATAATAGAAACAGTCCAGAATCACACTGTCCTTGAAAGCTTAAATTGGCCTTCGGTTACTACATGTACTAAAAACAACATCAAATACAGGAGAGTACATGTAAGTCACAGCACAGTATCCAACAACTCTTACAGTAGATGTAGATGTACTGGTATGTAGGTCAATGCTGTCTCAGTTCAGTGGTTATCAAAATAAAAGTACACACTCTTTCCCAATTTGCAAAATACATTTAAAACTTTCAGAAATGAATATTGTTTATTTGTAGGGAGTGCAAGCAAGTACTTCTTCTTTGCAAATAAACATTTTTTCCCAGAAATTGTACGCCGCACATTCAAGTACAAATGTGAAAGAAAAAACAAATTTTTGTAACGTGTTCTTCAAAACGACAGTGAAGAGAGACGGAATACAGTTTTTACAACCATCACAGAGACTAGAAATTTTATGCTTCAACCATTTCACGCTAGGTGCTTTTAAAAATGTAGTGCCTACAAACAGGCAATTTGTCAATATCTTCGGTTTTCAAAAATCTTTAAAAATTCTTAACCTTTTTTTCCTGAACACATAAACCCAATGGAGTGACTGTCTGGTGGCTACTCTAATCTGAAAGACAACATCTATTGATGCCACAGTATTTCAGCCAGGCCTGCCACCTAGTAAAAAGAGCTCAGATTGTGTGGTGTTACATAAGTTTCTTTTGTTCCCGAAACTGGCATAGTGCGCTGCTGGCGTCTTTTCAATACGGGCCAGATTAGCATGCAGTGGCTTTGTATCACTCATCGCTAGAGTGCTGAAGCGCTTTTGTCCCTGGTAGTAATCTGCTCATGCTGAATGCCACAAACAGTGGTATAATCTTTCAAAACAATGACGAATTTCCTCCGCTATTGACAACTGAAAAAAATGTTGGCAATTCCCAGCAGCTCTGTCTTTTGTTCCGAATACGGTCTTTTGTTACAAGGCCCACAGCTCTTTTCGGGCTCCCCGGCAGGATATGGTTAATGTACCATAATACAAATGAGTATTCTTTACTAGATATTTGTTTTGAAGTAACGTCTAGATTCTATGTCCTTAAACTCTGTAATGAACTTGCAGTGGCACCTGTTATTAACAATTTCAGGTTTTCGTATCTTGAGCACCATGTTCTTCTTAGGGTAACAGATTGCACCTCTGGGTGTGGGCCACTTCCAGTTTGGCCCAGCTGGCTCCCTTACAGATACCTTGTAGTCATCCTGGGCACCAATGAGTGACCTCGCCAGGGTACAGAACGCCATCATAGTCAATGGCATAGTCCCCTACTTGCATTTGATTGTACACTGCATCTAATCATGTTCACCACACCCTAGCCCAATTAAGGGCCTAACGTTGTTCATACAGTGGAAACTTACGTTTGTAGTCGGTAACTCACGTTACATGGTGGTAACTCGTGTTACATGGTAACTGGCGTTACACTTTTTGATGGCATTTTTTAAACTGATGACACTATTGTTTTGGTAAATATCTTGTTTAGAGAATCAAGGTGTGGTAAATTTAGAAAAATTTCATTGCCAACAAATTACCTCTACTTATTCTTCAGACTGAAAAATATTTATTGTTTCGGTAACTCACATTACATGGCTGAAGTGCTTAACCCTTGTGTGACAGTGAAATATTTTAGGAGGTGTAGAAATCTCCTCTTAGGGGACTGAAGTAGACCCAATTTGCTTCTCTAAATTGAATTAAAAGAAGTGCTAGCAATATTTCTTCCATTAAAGAAATACAAATTTAGTTAAGCAAACATTTTAGCAATTTGGATGACTAAAAAAATCTCTTCAATGTTTGTAATTGTATTTCACAAAATATTTGACTGATTGATATAATTCTTTTTGTTTCTTTAACTTCAAAATATGGGTAAAACAAAATTAATAATTTCTTTGTGATACGATAAACTTGAAATGTTAGTGTCTACCTTCCCATGGAATCGCCCCTAAAAATGTCCACTACTGGGGAAAATAAATTTGTGTTTTGCTTTTTGTAACACCGAGTTATTTCTTCTTTGGGATGAGGACACATGTATGTCTCGGACTATCAGGATCCGCGAGTTCTGTACTTGGCTATACACACGAATGGAAAATTGATATTGACAGCGCCATGCTCAAGTCTGCACTGCGAAATGAAATCAAACTGACAATGTTAATTGACGAGTATGTGCGAGGCATTACTGTAAGTACAAGTAAATATGCGTACCGGGAACATATTTGTTTCCTAATTACAATAGCATGTGTGGAGCACCTCTGATAAACTACGTATGAGCACACGGGGACCAGATGGGTTCATGGAGACTGGACTATGGTTTCTGTGGCTGCTGGAAGGGTATTACAGACATCAATTTACGAAAAGAAAATGAGAAAGCAAAATATCTTTGCAGCTGTTAACACAAAAAAACTTTTCCAGCGGTGTGAACTTTTTGTTTACATCAATAACATGCGCGGAAGGAGTAAAACGCAAATCCTGGGAAGGATGTATCGCATGACGTGCAGTCATATCAAAATATGGGCCGGACATCCTGCTTACGACTACGGACATGCCCAGTAACAGTGTGTACAATGGGTGCGAGCGCACAAGGCAGAGCTCGGCGACCTGAATGGCACGGTGTCAACATCCTTCCCAGACATTGTGACTGGCGTTGCCCTCGCATTGTGTGACGCCATATCAGCTCTCGGCAGCTCTCAGCAAGAAAATAGAGATTCAGGTTTCGAGGATATATGTTTACATACACGTACATGGGTGCACTCCACATATGTACCAGTACACATGTACTGTACCCACACGCTACAAGTATGAAATTTTAAGCAACAGAAGATGAAGAAATACTTTTTGAACTAAACATTTTGTCAGGAATTAAACTACGACAGCATCACAGTACACGTATTATAACAATTTTTACGTCTTAACCTGTGGGGCATATTTTTGTGTATGTAATAAAGGCAATGTTCTGTTTCCCTACATACGGTCACAATGTAATAGGTAGCAGTCACACATGTACATGTATGCATTGAACATGTGGAATTATTCTCCAAAGTATTTAATTTATATAATCACACGAGTGCATTTTAAACTCGTTGTAATGAACGTAACAGGCAATTTTCATGTATCTCTGGGGTACAGTTCGCACACAAACCTTGGAAAGAACACAGCAGTGGAGCGGCTGAAATGAGTAAATGCGACCATGAGCTGGAAAGTTCATGGTTCCCTCAATATGGAAGAATTTGTGTCTTAAATGGCAAATACCTGAGAGAGCTTATCGGACAGGCTATTTCTGTTCTCATCTGGGGTTTATTTTCCTTTCCCATGCTCGCCCCGCCGTTTCAAAAGGGCGCACAGCTGTTCTGTCCATTTCAAAATGGAAGGACTCATGAAAATTACTCTGGCAATTAACCTTTCGTGATTGCGTGGTCTAGGTCCGGAGGTATAATCAGGCCTCCGCGGGTGGGAGATATTTTGCGAGGCTCAGGAAATGACGAGGAGCTTACGAGCAAAAAGGAAGAGAGTAAAAGTGTAAAGAAACTGATCAGCATTTAGATAACAAAGCTTTGACATATATGGGTATACGTTTCATCGGAGGGGATACCAACTCACCTTCAAACCGAGAACTGTTGATTATCTCTTGGGCCACATGCCACAAGAAACATGACGAGACAAAGTTATCCGGCTTTTGGGATTGCCTTTCTCTTCAGCCACGTTCTGCAT